TATTATATTAAAGTATAACTTATAAATTTTATATTTTTTAATAAAAACTTTATTTTTAAAGCTATTTAAACTAAAGTATTTAAAAGTAAAAAAGCATGTGTTATAAAAATAAAAAATAAGTTAATTTACTATATGTTAATAATAATTTATAAAATTAATAAGGTATTTTAATAAGTGGCTTATTATATAAAAAATATTTAAATAAGTAAGGGTACTAGTATATTTAATAAATTTAATTTTTAATTTTATTTTTTTAATATTTTTAAAGGTGACCGTGTTAAAGTTTAAATAAAGCTTATTAAATAATAAAAGTAGGGTAAAAAATAGCTAAATTATAGTATTTAAATAAAATTAATTTATAATAACTTTAATATAAAAATTTTAAAAAAGCTAGAGCTTGCGCTAAGGCTTATTTTAAAAAATTTAAATTTTTAAAAATTATTTAGTTTTACTAAAATACTAAAGCTTATATTTTACTAAAAGTTTTTTTTTAAAAGTAGCTGCTGTAAAGCGGCCTTGCTTAGTAAAAAGGTTTATAAAAATAAGATTATTTATATATATTAAAAAAATTATTAGCTTACTAGTAAAAAGGCATTTTTTTAGGTATTATAGTAAAGCTAAATTTATATAAGGTAGTAGCTAAATTAAGTTATTAAAAGTAAAAAAACTTTTTAAAATTATAAATAGCTTTAAAAGCTTTTAAAAGCTTTTTTTCTTACTTATAGCTATTTAAAAATTAAAGGTATATAAGTTTATTAAGGCCTATATTAAAAAAGGTATTAATAGTATTATATTACCTTGTATTTATATTAAAAAAGGTAATAAGTATTATAATAACTTAAAAAAAATAAGTAAAGGCTATAGCTACTTAATTATTTTTATAATTAATTAGTTTAAAATTTTTATATATATAAATTTAAGCTTTAGCCTTAAAAAAATAATTATTTATATTAAACTTATATATAAATACCTATAGTAGGGGAATTAGCTTATTTAAACTTATTTTTTATTTATTAACTACCTTTTATGCTTTTATTTTTTTAAGTTTATTTAATTTAAGGTTAATAGCTTTAAAAAATATATTTTTAAATAAATAATTTTTAAAATTTTTTTAGTGCTTAGGAAAAGGTGGTAGTTTATTTTAATAAAGGTATTTTTTTTAGGGTTTTAATAAAAAGTGAAAAAGGCAAATTATATATAGTTATAAAAAGTAAAATTAAAAGTAATTATAATAATAATATAGCTTGTATAGCTTATTAAAGTGCCTAAATAAAACTTAAAGTTTTTTTAATTATTTTAAGGTACTAGTTTTTATTTAGCTAACTATTTAAAAAAATAATAAGTCTAATTTTTAGTTTTTTACCTCCCTTTATATTTTTAATAATAAAATAAATAGGAGTTTGGGAGCGGGCTTGCTTTACTTTTTATAATAATTATTAATTAGCTAGGTTTAAAAATAAATTTTTTTAAATTTAAAAGCATGTAACTTATTATAAAGGCTATAATAGCTTATTAAAAAAACTAGCTAATATTAATTTTTATATAAAAATTTTATAGTAGTAAGATTTTAAAATAAGGTTTAAAGTAAAAAAAGGTGGTAACCCCTTTAATAAATTAAAGGCCTTATTTTTACTAAAATTAGGCCCAGGTGTGATTTTATATTTAAATTTTTTTTTATTTTTATTTTTTTTTAATATTTTTATTTTTAAATATTTTTACCACCCTTAGCTTGCTTGTTGTTAAAATACCCTTGTTTTTTTTTTTTTAAAGAATTTAGTAAAGTTTAAATTTAAATTTATATTTTTAGTAATACGGCGGTAAGAGGGCGGTTTAAGAACCTTAACTAGTGGTTTAAAAAAATTAATTTAAATATTAATAATAAGAAATGGTTCTTGTGAATTATAAAGCTAGGATTTATTAAAAATAATATTTTTATAAGCTTTAACATGCTAATTTTAAGAAAACTAGATTTACTAAATATTTAAGGCTTAATAGCCTATAAAATATTTAAGTAAGGCCCTTAATTTTATTTTATAAAGGCCTTTTTTTTAGGATTTTCTTGCCTAGGAAAAATACTTAATAATTTAAATATTTAAAATATAAGGCTTTTTACTAATAAATTTTTTTTATAAAGTTATTTAATTAATAACTTTAATAAAAATTTAATTATTAATATAAGCTGCTATTTTTATAACCTAGGGCTATATATTAAGTAAAATATTTTTATATAAAGTTATTATTTTAGCTTTTTAAATTAAAATACCTTCGGAGCACTTGGCCATACTATTTTAAAATAAAAAGTATAAAGTAGACTAGTTTTAAAAAATACTTTTAAAGGTAGTAAAGTTAGGAATATTATTATTAAAAATAGGTTTATTATTATTAAATAAAAACTTTAAAGTAACTTTATAATAGTTTTATATAAATTATATAAATTACTTAATAATATTTTTATAATTACTTTTAAGCTAGTAAGTATAGGCCTAGTGTATTTTAAAGTACTTATTATAAAAATAAGTTATTTATTAATTTTTATTTATTACTAGCTTTATAAAAATAAAATTAATGTAAATATAAATAAATAGCTTAGTAACTAATTTTTTAGGCTATTTAAATATTTATTAAAAAGCCTAACTAACCTAGTAAGTATTATAGTACTTAGGTAGTTAAAAATTAAAAATACTAACTTTTTATATAGTTATAAAAAAATACTTAAATACTTTATTATTAATATATTTTAGGCGCTAGTAAAAAGCTTTAAAATTTTTTTAAAGCTATACTTTTTAAGTTAAAGTTTTAATTTTTTATTAAGTTAGAGTGTTGGCCTTTTCTAGCTTTAAAAAACTTTTTTTTAGTTTTATTGTTTAAAGGCTTAAAAAATAATTTTTAAGGTAAAAGACTAGTTTATTATTTTTAAGTATAAGGGTGTTAAAATTTTAGGTATATTTAGCTTTTTAAAAAGGCCTTACTACTATAATATTAAGGTAAAATTTAGGAGTATATATAACTTTATAAAGTATAAATAATATAATCCCTTTATTAAATACTTTTAAATAAATAAAAAYTAATTTATAACCTTATATAGCTATAGTTATATTCCTAGCTTAAATATTATTATTTTAAGAGTAATTTAAAAAGGTAAAATAGCTAAAATTATTATAAATATAAATAAAGGCACTAGTATTAAAAATAAAGGTATTTTAAAATTTTAAATTACTTAAAATACTAAATACTAGGGCTGCTTTATAATATTTTTTAGGAATTATAAATTATATATTTTTTTAGCTATTTTACTAAGCTTTCTAGTTTTTAATATTTTTTTTTTATTTTTAAAAAGCTTGGTATTCTTAATTTTTAACTTTTAAAGCTTCTTACTATATTTATTATTTTTTTTAAGCGCTTTACTAATTTTTTTTTAGGCCTTTATTTATTTTATAGGACTTTAAATAGCGTGAATATATAAAATTATAATAAAATTTTATAATATACTTGTATTTATAAAAATAAATTAGTTTATTATTAGTTAGTGCCTAGAAAGGTTTATTAATAAAAAAACCTTTAATATTTAAATTATTAGTAAAGGGCTAATTTAACTTTTTAATAAGTATAATAAAGGCTATTTTTTTTATAAAGGTTTTAGCAAAGCTATTAGTAGTAAAAAAATATTATTAAAACTTAAAAATAAAGATAAGATAATTAGTTTTACTAAGTTTTTTATAATTTAATTAATTGGCATGGCGCTTTACATAGGCTATTAAGTATTTATTAATAGCCTTTAAAAATACTATATTAACCATTTTATTATTAGCCTTAGGTTACTTAAGGCGTAGGATTTTTTAATAAGCATGCTTATAATTTTAAAATTATTAGGTAACTTTTTTTTATTAAATTAATATAATAAAAATAATAATATAGCTATTAAAAGTTTTAAATTTAATTTTAAGATTAGTAAGAGTAAGTTACTACTTTAATTTAATAAAAACTTTTATAATAAGCTTATTTTTAATAAGTTGCTAAATAAAAAGTGTAATTAACTTTTATATAATATTATTAATATTTTAAATTTTTAAAAGGACATGCTTAGCGTGGTTTTATTTTTAATTAAATATTTTAAATACCTTTTTATTAATATTATTTTTAAAAAGTAAAGGGAGCTTAAAAAAAGAAGTTTAGTAAGTTACTTTTAAATTAAAATACTTTTAAACTTTTATAATAATTATAATATATAAAATATAGCTATACCATACTAGCTAGTTTTTTTTAAATTTTAAAAAAATTATTATATTTAAGGCGCTGGTAGTAAAGCTTATAATAACTTTTAAATTAATAAATTAAGTATAAAAGTTAAGGTTTAATTAATATTTAACTTTTTAAATATAAATATAAGAGATAATTAACTACAAAAGGCTTTTATATAATAAAGGGCTGGTACTTAGGGGATATAAATAACTTTAAAAAGTTTAAAAAAGGTAAAAATTTAATAAACTAAATTATTAAGTAATTTTTTAGGCTTATAATTATAAGGCCCTTTAAATATTATATAAAAAAAGCTGTTAATTATATAAATACTAAAAAATTAAATAAAAAATATAATAATATTTAAAAGCTAGAGCTAACTAGGGTTTTTATAAATAATTTAAGCTTTTAAAAATAATAAAAATTTTAAATACTTTTACTAATACTTTATAATATTTAAAAAACTATAAATATTATAATTATACAAGCAAGTAATTTAGTGGTAGGCATTGCAGTATTTTAATTAAGACTGCCTAAGGCGCCTGAGCGCTGTTAAAGCGCTGTAGCGCTTCCTTATTAAACTAAGCAATCTCCACCATTGGCTGACAGAGTCCATGTGGTATGGGTGCCTGCTGTGGTCTGAGGGTTCATCGGACAGTGTCTCTCAACATATACATATACATACATACATCATCACCGCATATCCTCCTCGTCCCACCTCCCTACCCAGTTCATTCCTCTATACCCAAGTCTATACTATACGCCTAGTAATATATCCTCTCATCCCCAGTAGCCCGAGGATACATCACACTCCCCGTCCCGGGCTCACCCACAATCCCGCGCTCCACAAGCTCATTGACGAGGCTAAAGACCATGAGATCGCACCCATGCGGCGCGATGATGTCCACCGCCACGGGGAGGTACTCCTCGCGCAGCGTGATGGTCGAGTTATAGCGTGCTTGGCCGACTGCCACGTCCCGTTAGTTCAAGGCGTTGTCAATGGGACCCTCGGAGTGGAGGAAGGGTGCGTGTGCGTACCAGGGACAACCATATCCGGCACACCGGCCATATTCGAGATCCGGGCTGAGGAGAAGCCCAGCGGGATGCCGGGGATGCTGCACGCACGCATGATATTAGCAGGATGGTCAATAAGGAGAGGGAGGGGAAAGGGGGAGGGAAGAAACGCACTCGCGATAAACATTCCGGTACGTCGGCGTGCCGGCAGTGCCAACGTACAGCACGAGGCTATCGGCGCACGTCTCCTCATCAAACACCTGCACTGTGGAATTCCACCACGCCTTGAAGACCTCTTTATTCGCTAGCTCGATGTCGAGCTGTGAGTCTGGGTAGCTGAGGCCCCAGTTCCACCGGCTCAATGGCACCGGGTCGATGAAGGGGCGGCGGCCGTTATTCGCGGCCGCATAGTCATCGTAGAGCTTCGCGCCAATACGCGGAAACTGCTGCTTTGTGATCAGGATGCCGTAGGTGAGATTCAGGAGGGAAGTCAGGGTTGTATCCTCGGGCACGGTGTGCGGTTTGGTGTCCTCCCAGAGGGCGTCGTAGTCGAGTGGCGAGACGGTCGCGTTTCCAAGGAACGTCTTGAGCTTGTGCAGGAAGGCAAGCAGGACCCGATTCGCCTCGGTGCTCGCATCGGTCGGGAAGTCAATCGTCCGAATGGACCTGGGGTACTTGCTATACGACTTCAAACCCGCAGGCGCATAGAGGACCTCCGACGCAGCCTGCCACAGCTTTGCATCCCGAGTTAGAAAACCCGCTGTATCGAGCGCCGGGGACATGGGCATGACCCCGTCCAGCGAGACGAGGTCGAACGACGGCCTATTCCCAAAGCACCCGTTCACCTGCGCCGGATTGCGAATCGACCCGCCTGTATCGCTCCCAACCGCGAGATCCAGCCAGGCGTACGCGCCGATGCCCGACCCAGGCCCAGACGACGACGAACTGGGATCCTGGTACCCGTCGCCGCGCGCATTAAAGGGCGAGTGGTAGTCGACCCAGTCGGCGGTGGCGGTCTCGCCGTTCGCGAACTGGGACGTCTTCATTTTGCCCACGATCACGGCCCCCGCGTCGATGAGGGACTGGATGCTTGGTGCTGTGGTGTTGGCGGCGGCGTACAGGTCGTAGTAGGCGCGGTTGCCGCAGCCGGTTTTGACGCCTTTGATGTCGTAGAGGTCTTTTACGCCGAGGCGTACGCCTGCGAGGGGTTTGGTTGCGGTTCTTGTGGAGTAGAGGCGCGAGGGGACGCCGATGGTTAGGGACTCGTAGCCTTGCAGGCTGGAGGGGAGGACGTCGTAGGTGTTGTTGCCTGTGGCAATGAGGCCTTGCGTGAAGGAGCCCATGACGTCGGAGTAGAGGCGGTAGGCTTCGTGGACGGCGCCGGTGGTGGTGTCGAGGAAGTAGGGGCCCGGGGCGATGTCGGTTGTGCTGTTGGTTGCGGTCTTGGGGCTGTATGCGGCGGCGTGGCCGAGGAATTTGGTCTTCCATGACGATGGGGGAGAGATGTCCAGGAGTGGGGTGTTGTGGGAGCCGTTGTAGGTGATGTAGATATCTAAACTGTTAGCTATGATTTCTCGTCTCAACAGGGGATACTTACTTTGCAAGAAAGCCGTGCTGAAAACATCATCCGTAGATTCGTAGAGATTGACCAGGTCCCGAACCGCCGCCGTACTCAGATTCCTAGCATCGCTCCTAAACACAGTCAACGGCACAAGGTCATCTCCATGCGCTAGACCTTCCCCGACCTGCAGCGTCGTCACAACCTTTGGAGGCACGTAGTAGGTGTTCTCGCCCACCGCAATCGTCTGGCCCTTGAACGTGACGGCTTCAACGGCACTCGACAGCAGCGGGAGCGCGGCCGTGAGGCGCAGGTGTGCGGAGACCATACCTACCTCTCTTTTCCCTGTCCCTGGGCTTTGGAATGTGACGGTGGTACCTGCATGGCGGAAGAGCCCGGCTAAATAGCCGCTCCACGAGGCTGGAGTTGGAGAGCTGTTAACAGGAACAGAGATAAGAATGGACGCTGAAATACATTCTAGCGGTCAAGAGGAGACATGATTTGTTGGTGATCGGATATGTGGGGATTTGGAGTCAGTTGGGGTTGGCAAGGAGATAGCATCACCTCTTATCTAATGTCAAGATAACTATTGAGTAAGATCGGGAGTTTTGGAGGTGCCGAGTGGAGCTTTTACTCGAAGCAATATACTAGAAGTTGGTAGAGACGATGCAGCAGTAGGAGCACAGGCACCATACCATAGTTAGGGCTAAACTGCCAGCTCGGCATCACCACCATTATATTCCCGTAGCAGTCACTGGGCCTTATGATGGATAGATATTAATAAATATGTTCCAACTCGAGGTTTCTTCCAGCGATGCCATAGAAGTCAATACAACTATCATCAAACTCTGAAGGATATATGGCAGATCAGTAATTCTTCAATCAAGGCTGGAACGCAGCGTTAGGGTTTGCGCATCTACCCCGTACCACACAGCCTGGAGGATTCGGCACACGGTGGTATAGGTAAGCTACACCAGGTAGAAGTACCTGTCCTACCCATAACACCCTCGCCATAAACGCAAATAGAGAAATATCTTCGAACTGCAGTTAGCCCTCATTTCCACACCGGCCTTGTCTTATCCGCCCGTTCCACCCGTTCCACCCGTTCCACCCGTTAACACCCACATTCCAAAAGCTGTGATATAATCATTCTTTAATGCTCAAACGAACAAACCACAGCCTCAGCCTCCGCCTCCCGCTCCGCAAGCCGTGCCTCCCTCGCAGCAAGATACTCCCTCTTCGAAGCACACCCCGCCTCAGGACCAACACAGACAAGGCGACTAAGCAACCATTAGCATCACCATCACCAATCCCCCCTTCGGCAAAAGCAGGTATAAGGGGGAAAGCATACTCATCCTCAAAAAGCCTCTCGCACGTCCCACCAGGACAAAGCTCATCCCCCATGAGCCCCTCAACCGTCGAGAACTGGTTATAGATGTCCTCGTAGTTCGGCACCAGCGAGGCAATCCCGCCCGGCACGACCTTGTCGTACGCGGCGACGACGACCTCCTGCGCGAAGTTCTCGGCGTGGTCTGGCATTCACAACATTAGCCTGGAAACAGGAATGGGACAGGGACGGAGTGCATGTGCATGTGCGGGTTGATTGGGGCGTACTTGTTTGCGCGTAGGCGTCGCAGATGTACGCGTCTTTGTTGTACTCGTTTAGCCAGGCTGTGGAGGCTGGGGACGGGACGTTAGCATGGGTAGTTAAGGGTTATGGTATGGGGGTGGGTGAGATGGGAGAGGGACGCACAGGAGTAGTCGCCCGCAGAGGCGTTGACCTGCGCATCGCGGATGTGCCCGACCTCGTGGATCCAGAAGCGGATGTAGGGGTATAGATCGCCGGTGTAGACGATGTCGCCGAGGTCCGTGCTATCCGTACTCTTAGCAATCCCAGCTATAGGTAAGTGAGAATTGGCAACCAGAGCAGGCTTACAAGGTATACGCCAGCAGCGTCCCATTGCCTCTCCCAGGGAACGCTATCCCAGTTTCAGAGTCAGCTCAGCCCTCACTTTCTAATCACTGTACGAGTTTGCTTTGAGATGTACATACCCAACTGCGTCCGAACAAGATTCCTCATCCTGACCGGCAATCTCCCGAAATTATCGATCATCTGGTCGAGACTCAGATCCGCCTCTTTATGCCGGCACATCACCCACGGCCGATCGCAGTCTTCGTACGTCACGTTGTAGACTTCCATGTCGTACGGGCTCAGGTTCTCCCACGACTCCGCGACGTCGTGGCAGCGCGCGGGCAGATACCCGTAGTCCCAGGCAGAGTATGAGGCCGGTGTGGACTTGAGGTTGTCGTATAGGTTAGTGTCCATTTGGTCGAAGGGGACGGCGGGCGACATGATGGGTTTGTCGAGTTGGGCGAGGGCGAGGGGGAGGAGGGCTAGGGTTGCCCATGTTTTTAGGGGTAGCATTTTGTTTAGCGGGGGCTAGGTGAGTAGAGACAGGTTGACGAGTGTGAACTGACAGAATGGGTATCTCACTGGGTTTTATATCTCCAGCCCCGGGACGATCAAATTTCCACCAGCGTTAGGCAGTGGAACGGAGCCGCCAATGCCTGCCCGTTGGAGCTTGAAGGATCTGTCAACCTGGGCTTTTCGCCAATGAATGCGTTTTGGCCCCAATCTTGCTGCGATTCTTCAGCGATAGCCCTAAGCTAGGCACACAGCCCTGTTCTAGCTGCGCTTGGCATTCAGGTACAGCCCCAAACTTGGAGGCACAGGGTCAGGCCATGATAAGCACTGAAGAGTATTATGTGGGAGATGTGTGCAGACATAGGATTGGAGACTGTTACTTTCTTGATACCTATCTTTCTCTTCGAGTACAGTAGCCGCAAGTTCATATCACCATGTCTCTATCAAGTCTTCAGTATGCGCAAGCGCCAGCTTGTGTGGAGTCTCTGTCCTGTAATCTCCACAATTCCTGATTCAGGGCTTGGACCCCAAATATCGACGCCTTGTAAAACTGCGATCTGTTTTATGTCATGTGTTGTATGTGGTTAGAAAGGTGCCCGATGTCTGTCACTCAGTGCTATGGTACCATACTAAGTACACTACGGTGACTCGTGAGGGTCATGGAATATTTCCCACTAAGCCCCCACGTATGTTGGTATGGAATTAGCTATCAGCCGACATGATCTGGATTGAGGACGGACCTAGAGGCTTTATCTTTGGTTTCAAGACATTTGAAAATATATATACTTCGATATACCAGAGCGCAGGGTATGCCCCAACGAAAGATACTACGTGTATTAACAATTTTCGAAAACGCCCATTATAGCTTGTATGGGATATGCCAGAGTGCTATAGCATATAAATAGTGAAAGTGCAGAGAGAGACTGGCCCAGTAGGTACCGTAACCCTAACCTCCGGGCGTTCGGCAACCTCGGCCTCTTACCTACTCAAAGGCTACAATGATTTGGAGTGCATTTCCAGCGAATTGTCGAGATCAGAACATACGAACCATGTCCTGTTCAAGCTAAATAGGTAACGTACTGAAATGGGATTATTATGATGGCAATGATGGAACATCCCATACAATAAGGGTCTGCTTACTGTACCTAGGTGATCGCGGCTAGTGCTCAATGCGAGTCTGTATCACTAATCGAATAATATAGCATGAACAGTATACGTATGCGTATAGTTGATTTCCAAGCAAGCATGAATGCTTGATCATGCCATTCCAAGATCATGAGGCTTAGGGCGCCCCGATTTGAAATCATACAGCTATGCATGTGCCCCTGCATGCCGGGGCTAAGCCACCTCTTCCTGGTGTCCGGTGCGCCAATCATCCCGCTCTTTGGCTACCATATTTGTTGGGAAAATGAATCATACTGGACTCGAGGATCGCTCAAGTTGACCAGCGATGGGTATGTTCTGGATTCGGGACGGGGCCGGTGAGTTACTACCTGGTAAACAGGGCTCAAAGACGGCTCAGTTACACGCAGAATATGGTACCAGAAGCCTAAATGATGAGCCTTTGAACGTCAAGGAGATGCCCTGGATATCAAACCTTCATGAAAGAGGATCTGCTCAGCGGAATGATCATTCATCACTATTTCCAGTTGAGCCCAGCACTGAGCACTGAGCAAGAAAGATCCACCTTCCGCCCAAGGACTGGACTCCGCCGCAACCGAACCGTGACCGAACATCAAAGAACATTGGAACCGTCCCACTCGCATTTGTAATCCATCCGATTCCGCTGCTCAGGCGGATGTGGATATCATGTCGTCATTTGAGCCGTATAAATGCCGCGGTCCGCATCATGATCATGGTCCTCCCAAATTCAATCAACCCCATCTTTCCATCCTCGCATTCCCCCGCGGAACAAAGGAAACCAACCACCAAAATGCCATCCCAAAAAGCCATCATCATCACCTCCCCAAAACAAGAAGGTCTCGTCACCGACCGCCCCATCCCTACCCTCCGCGACGACTACATCCTCATCAAGACCGTCGCCGTTGCGCTCAACCCCACAGACTGGAAGCACATCGCGTACCTCGCGCCCCCGGGCGTGCTGGTGGGCTGCGACTACGCCGGGGTCGTGGAGGAGGTTGGACCGGCCGTCAAGAAGCAGTGGAAGAAAGGCGATCGCGTCGCGGGGTTCGTGCATGGGTGTAACGCCGTGCAGGCCGAGGACGGTGCGTTCGCGGAGTATATTGTTGCGAAGGGGGATATCCAGATGCGCATCCCTGAGAATCTGGGCTTTGAGGAGGCGGCGACGCTGGGGGTGGGGATTATGACGGTGGGACAGGGGCTTTATCAGAGTCTTGGGCTGGGGTTGCCTGGCCAGCGGAAGGAGAGTGAGACGTCCGAGCCGATTCTGATCTATGGTGGTTCGACGGCGACGGGGACGCTGGCGATTCAGTTTGCGAAACTCTCTGGGTACAGGGTTCTTACGACGTGTTCGCCGCATAACTTTGATCTTGTTAAGAAGCTTGGTGCGGACGAGGTCTACGACTACAGGGATCCCGGCGCCGCGGCGAAGATCCGCGAGGCGACGGGCGACAAGCTGCGTCTTGTTTTCGACACGATCTCGCTTGAGCCCAGTGCCAAGTTCTGCGAGCAGGCGATCTCGACCAGTGGCGGCGAGTACAGCGCGCTTCTTTCCGTCAAGGTCGACCGTGAGAATGTGCGCTCGCGCTCTACGCTGGGCTACACTGTTGTCGGCGAGGAGTTTATGTTTGGGCAGACGCCGTACCCGGCGAAGCCGGAGGATAAGGAGTTTGCGGAGAAGTTTGCGGTTGTTGCGGAGGGGTTGCTGGGGTCTGGCAAGGTGAAGGTGCATCCGCCTAAGGTTGGAGCTGACGGGCTTAAGGGGGTTATTGGGGGGTTGAAGTTGCTCAAGGAGGATAAGGTTAGTGGGGAGAAGTTGGTTTATCGGGTTGGGGAGACTCCTTAGATCTTGTTGTATACTTCCAAGTTGTATAGTGATTGTCCCCTACCTAGGTATACGAGTGGGCGGCGTGTTCGTTGCTGGGCATAGATGTAGTAATGAAATGAAGGACCTCTTTCAACTACTTTTTATGTTCATGGTTTACATTATTTTGCCGGGCATCTTTCTCCCTCGGGCTTGCACTGTGCAGTTTACCGCATAGTACCGTCACGCTGGTTGATCAATCGGATCACAGGAAGAATAAGCTTAAGTTCGGTCCCCGCAGCCGCTTTAGGATTAGACTCCGCATCGCTGGATTCTAAAGATCTAGGACAGGATTGCAGATTGCTAATCATTTGGCCCTGCGCAGGTTATTCTAAGGTTCCCGAAGTTTCTGTCTCGCTAGCGATCACTCCCGTACGCATATAAGGGCAGACCTTCCCGCTGGTTTGCTCAATCCCTAATCGCTCTACATCGTTCACCCTTCATCATGCCGTTCAACTACAACAAAGTCCTCATCATCGGCGCTACCTCCGGAATCGGCCGAGCCTTCGCAACCAAGCTCGTCGAGAACAACATCCCCGTTGTGATCTCCGGCCGTCGGGAAGAGAATCTACAGGAGTTCATCCGCCAGCATGGCAGCGACAAGGTGACCGCCAAGGTCTTCGACGTGACCAAGCTGGAGACGGTACTACTTTCCCCCAAACCCATCCAGACGGAAGACTGACTAGCAAAGATCCCCCAATTCGCCGCCAAAGTCCTCGCCTCGCACCCCGACATCGACGCCGTCTTCATCAACAGCGGCATCCAGCGCCCCTTTGACTTCTCCAAGCCGGAAACCGTCGACCTCGCCATCTTCGACCAGGAACTGCTCACGAATTACACCTCCGCCGTGTACCTAACTAAAGCGTTTACGCCGCACCTGCAGTCGCTCAACAAGACGGCCGCGCTCCTCTTCACAACGTCCCAAATGGCCCTCGTCCCCATGATGCGCTGCCCCAACTACGGCGCTTCCAAGGCCGCCCTGCACCACTTCATCCTGGCCCTGCGGACGCAGCTGTCCGATGGTCCGGGTGATGTACGCGTTCTGGAGATTTATCCTCCCGCCGTGCAGACGGAGTTGCATGATGCGAAGCACCAGCCGGATTTGAAGGATGGGCATTTGATTGGGATGCCGCTGGATGAGTTTGTTAGTGAGGTTTGGGAGAGATTGTCACAGGGGGAGGAGCAGGTTGCTGTTGGGTCGGCTAGGGATATTTACGAGGCGTTTGAGGTTAAGCGTCAGGGGCTTTATGAGGAGATGACGAGGATGTTGAGTGGGTTGATTAAGCAGTTTTTGCGGTAGAGCTGGGAGAGATGGTAATTGAGTAGTCATCTAGTTGAAGTAGTTCGAGAATGGAGATTTTGTTTGTATTTTATGGTCGATGTCAAGCTTTGCTTTGTCCTTAGCTTCTCCGGTCTTCCTTGCTTCTACAGATCGTTATATCTGACCGGGCCGGGACTCCCTTGCTTCTAGACAACCTAGGTCTACAAACCAAATACGGTCCCGAACTGGTGGAACCTCGGAGACTATCGATCGGGCCGACCCACATTGAAGCGCATTCGGTTTAGTCTCCGCAGTCAAAGTGGGCCCCTGCAGCTGACAAATCCCGCCGACATCGCACGTTTTCTCTTGTCTCGAATCTCGGCAACTTCTGCGAATCTTGGACTCAATTCATACTGGCTCGGTCATCTGCATACATCAGACTGCACCACCTGCACACATGACAGCATCCGACCTCAAGCCTCAGACCCTGCGCCGCGCCTGTCAGGCCTGTGCGCGGGGCAAGCGCCGCTGCGACCAGCGCTGGCCACGTTGCACCAGATGCCAGACCAGGGGTATCAGCTGCGAATACGCCAATGTGCCTCTTACGACGGACAATGCTATCCCCGCGGGGAAACTAGCTACACCTGCCGCCCGGAACATACCGACACCGCGCCGTCGAATGGAGGTGCCCGCTGCTCGAGCTGGAGGTCCACCACGCCCACGCCCCCAGCTTACCATCCACCACCCGCTGCACCTGGAGATCCCGAAAGGCTACGAGCCAAGCATCATCTCCTTCCTCGTCGCCGGTGTATCTTCCCTCCCCATGGCATTCGCACGGGATATGAAAACCCACTTCATCCACCCGGAGCTCTGGCCTTGCGGTGCAAATGGCACTCCACCACCCCCCCTCCGCGATATCCACGCCCTCTGCCAACTCTTCACAAGATGCCAGAACACAACGACCTTCCTCTCCCTCCTCCGCCAGAAAACACTCTACCACTACAGACGCATCTCGCACACCGCAACAGCAACCTTCTCAGACACCCTCGCCTCGACACAAGCCCTCCTCCTCGCACAATGCATGCTCATCACGACCGACCCAAACACGCCGTACTCCGAAGCAACAAGCTCCATGCTCCTCTCCCTAGCCCAGAAACTGTACGCGCAAGCCCCAGTCCAGTTACCGAGCTCGCTATCCCCGCGCCGGGCGTGGTTATTCGCTGAGAGCGTGCGGCGGACTATCATTGTCGCGTTTATGCTGCGGAGTGTGTACTCGCTGCAGAAGAGGAATTACTCCGTGCGCACGCCGTTCGTGGACTCGTTGCCTTTTGATATCCGCACTGGTTTGTGGGATGGCAACGCGCGTGCGGGTGCGGACATGGTCGTGGACACAGGGGCAGCGGCTTCGACGGACGCCATTGTCTCGCTGCATCAGTACTCCGGCATGTTGGAGAGCGGGCTCGTTCATGGGATTTCCCCGTTCGGGGGCTTGATTCTTGCTGCGTGTAGGGGCAGGGCTGTGGAGGAGATTGCCTATCCGGCCGTCGCAGGCTGAGCTACCATACCATACCTTCTGGCAATGCGGACACGGTCTAATGGCCTAAAGGCTGCTGCCTGAGCTCTCCTGGCTTATCACTTGACCATTCTCCTCTACGACTCCGCACTCTCTACCAAGCTACTGGGTGGGCTGGGCAGACGTCTTGCCGTTCTGTTTGCCAGACATTACGCTACTCACCAAACCACTGTCCATCGGCGTCATTATGGTTCCCGAATGCGAGAACCCAGGGGCCGCTGGGATGAAGATAGCAGCCAAGCTGCCAAAGTGCGCTTACGGTATCGCATTTACTGGGTGTTATAGACGCTATATTCGGCCGTCTATATCTGCCCCCCTGCCTAGGGCATGTCTATGGAACATATGGTAGGGTTAAAGCTACGCATTGTGCCAAGTCGCTCGGAGGCAGCGATATTGGGTACTCCTAACCACCATCGATGTCGCCAAACGGGCTGATGGATCCTAGTGGACGAGGATGGTTGTGGTGCACCCGGACATGTGCTAGTCCTGCCACAGTTCGGTATACTCTTCATATCCGGTCGTGGGTGACGGGGTGCTATTATCCATACATGTATGACTTTAACAGGAATATCGAATAACGGGACTATACCTCATCATGACCATTTCTGGAGATTATTGCCTGACTTGGGGTTGTATTAGCTTACTCGTTTCTCTCATACCTAGTTAGCACAGACTCGGCACAGTATCATGTATGGTATTCACTACGGAGTGTTCCAGGTCCAGCCATCCGTCCAGGTTTGACTATTCTCCCTCTCAACCCCACTATCATAGGGTTAGAATGGCACTCAACATGATGAGCACCGTCCATGCGACAGAACACAGCGGGTGCGTCAGATGAGCTGCATTGCCCTCGGTTGTATCTGTCTGTGCACTCTCGGTCTCGTTGGCGCTGTCAGTCATGTTAGAAGTGTTTCCAAAGCTGCCGGGGATGTTAGTTTCGTTGCCGGCGTTCTCATTGTTTGTACTTTCGCCCGGCGTGGAGAGATTGGAGTTCTCGTCACCCACTCCGTCGCCGTCATTGTCTGCATTGGCTGTGTTATCTTCGTCGTTCAGGCTATTGTTATTTTCTTCAGATTCAGATCCTTCATTCCCTTCGTCGTCCTCTGGCGAATCGGCTGGTCGAACGCATCTTGTCGGAAAGGAGGACTCTGATCCCCCTGAAATATGCATTTCCTCCCAGAGCTTGTACAGCGTCTCGTTACACGGGATTTTGGGTTCGTAGGAGAGATCGACGGCGCCCAGGTCTGTGAAGTTAGGAAGGTCGATACTAAGACCGGCAATTAGTCAGTGCATAAAGGCCACGATGGGAAAATGTAGAAGATGGCGAACTGACCTGCCAAGTTCGCCCCAGATATAAAAGTACTCCGCCGTCTTGATCGTCGAATATATCTCCAGTGGCGCACGGGCAATGAACGTTGCGCCTGCGTTTGTTTCGCCGAGGGCACCAAGGCTCAAGCGTGAGATGCCGCCGTAGACTTCGAGCAGGCCGTTGATCGTACGCAGGTTCGGTGCATCGAAGTCGAGCGTAAACTCGCCGCTTTGGATATTAATCCGGAGGCTCTGGCTCATCACGGATTTCCTGTTGGCCCAGGGGTCGAGGTCCTTGGTGCCGACGATTTCGAGGGAGGGGACGGAGGCGCTGTTCATAACTGATTAGCAAGACTGAATCCCAGGGTGTGGGTAAAGACCATCCAACGTTTTGATCGTCCCCGCAATGTTGAATCTATTTGCGCTCTTCAGTGAAGGCAGGTCCACGTCTAGGTAGGGGAACTCCTCGTCGTAATAAATGCCACAGTTTTGCGAGCCGCAGATGGAGAGTTCGTCGGTGACTGTTTCCAGGGAGGACAGGTTTATTCTGGACACTAAGTCAGTTTGCGAGCGCTTAATTCATGTAAATAGATAGGTATCGCACCTCGTCCAGCTCCCCCAAGCCCTCACATTATCCGACTCCGTGAGCGCCCCGAGATCCACCTCGGCACTCGTTGACGCCTGGACGAGGTTGATACTACCCGCGCGCTCGACTTTCGGCAGATGAACGTCATTGGTAAGACCAACAAGCCAGATATTGCCGACGTCGACAAGGTCAGGTAACTCAACCACACCGAACTTGTCGGCTGGCGCACTCGTGGTGATATTCCCACTGATCGAGGTCACGCCGTTGAGGATAAAGTCGCCGCTGTAATCGGAGTTGATCACGATGTGACCGGTAAGTGTCGTGCATCCTTCAATGGTGGACAGTTCTTCGGGGCTTGAGACGCGGAGGATGGGCTCGCCTGTTTCTGCGTCGGGGGTGGACGTTTCGCATTCCTTTGCAAGCGCAACTAACCAGCCAATGTCAGCTTCTTTCAGAGTCCCCCGTTAGGGATTGGTAAATAGAAGAGTTAGCATTTTACCCAGAGAGAAATTGGAGATAGCCAGCCCAGCGGCCAGAATTATCTGGAAGGCTCGCATGCTTGCGGACACGGTCGAATCTTGCTAATGCTTGATGGGAAGGGAAGGGTGAGGGAAAACAAACTGACGCCACTTGCCTCGGGCGCAGCTGCCTATTTAGCCGCACGAGCCCCTACCTGGGAAAGACCGCTGGCAGGCCCCATTCACCGCGATTCAAGGGTCCCAGTGAAATTGAGCCATCGTGGTCTTGGCCACGTTAGGGCCGCACTTGGCGTGCTTGGGGCCAGATAGGTTCGTACTTCGCGCCATGATAGTTTCACTGTGATTTGCCCTGTTCCTGAACCCCGGTGCCTAGGGACTTGGCAGTTGAGCTCAGTTAATTCAAGGGAGATAGGGCTCGAAGCGTCATGTAATCTTCATTCACCAAGTAGTCGTCACCTGCGCAGTCTGACGACATAATTACGGTTCCAAAGCCTAATCAAAACGTCTCATGCTATGAGCCTTCATTTGTACATGGCTATGATGACGACATTCTGCAATCTTGCTGGGATAACCGTAACCTGACGAGCTTTGCTATCACGGATCTGAGATATCGGGCCGCGGTTGAAGTGCAGGGCCTACCGAGAGGGCGATATGTCGCCCGTAAGCGACGGACGTTTCATAGCCTATGTTCGCGATGGCAAGGACTATATGTTCGGGGGCGTGGAGGAGACGTTTGGCGGGGGCGTCTGGATCGGTGAGATATCGGTAGCCTCTTCTAATGCGAGCTCGGACGGCATGCTGTAGAAAAGCCACGGTCAGTTATGGCATATAACATCCACACCGGAGAGACCAAACTCTTGGCTAAGGGGAAGACGTCTGTCGAGGTGTCAGCTACTGTCACAGCAGATGGCACGATCGCATTCAGGGATTTCCAACACATCTGACTTACGGAGGGTCCGTTACATCTATCACAAGCTGACGTCGCCGTCTGGAGCAAGCCCGGAGACAGCTCGACACCGGAGGATCATATCCGGCTCTCTGATGTTGGCGGGCATAATGGCACATTCAGCGGCGATGGGCAACCCGTGTTCTGGCTATTGGGACCGGTCCTGTATAGAGCACCAGTCAGGGAGGTAATCCAAGGGTGCGCTGGCGCCTGCACTCGAGACCTAGGGCTGGTGGAAATCCAAGCCCTAAACGCCACCTTCAAGACAGTACTCCATCAACAAATCACCGCATCAGACAATGCACCGCTGGTTCTCGTAAACGCAACCTTAATCAGCATGAGCATAGACCCCTCAGCCCAGCAACTAATCACCAACGCAACAATAGCCATCCGCGCCGGCCAAATCATCGCCGCAGGCCCCGGCCATTCCTCCCCCCCCCTAAACACGCAACTCCTCAATAATCAATGTCGGCGGCGACGCCGTCCTCCCCGGCTTTATCGACATCCACGGACATTGGGGTAGCTTCTTATCACCATACACGGCTACATAATGGGGAATAGAAACAATGATTTACCCGCCTGGTGTTGATACCGTGGACAAGGTTTGGGCGGATAGTACGCATATAAGGTATTTTGTGCGGGGTGGGACGGTGTTTGAGGTTGAGGATGGGCTTGTAGAGGTATGGCCGAGAAGGAATAGAAGGCAGGAACGGGGGAGGGTGAATGCTCAGGATGAGATATAGATAGAGGGGGCCGGTGTGTAGTCGAGATCAGACAATGCATGGTTTCATTAACTACTAACCTTGTCTATCATGGCTATACGAAACCGCCAATCGTACAGGCTGGTTTGTGGAGTAATTTAGCCAAGATTGGACCTAACCTCTAAGCCATCTCGGCTGATGAGAATATCAAAATGGCTTGCCGAGGATCAGACCACCCCACCGTTATGCAGTAACTATAACACTGCCCAAACCACCACATTTACAGCTCTCCAAGCATAATTCCATCCACTGGAAATGGACGACAATCTCTCTGAAACTTTATCAGCCCGTTATTTCCTTCCCAATAATCCAAATCGTGTCGACAACCAAGGGCTTGATATTCAACAATCTCGCTCCAGCAACGCCCCTAGAAGTAAGACGCGAAGTCGGCCGCGAACCCGCCGAGTCGGTCATAATTCAAAGATCGTTCGTTGGCCCTAGCTCAACTCTTTTACATTCTTAGTTCGCGACCCATATCCTGACCGCAGGCTAGGACCGTCGCGCCCAGCTCCGATGCGCGCAAAGAACGTACCGCGAGAAGAAGGATGTCATGTATAGGGACATGCAAGCGCGTCTTGCAGACGCCAGCAGCAATTTGGTCCGCCTGACGTCCTCACTGGCGGAGTTTCGTGATAAGGCTGTCGAGTCGGATCTAGATGTCACGCATCCATTGCTGTTCCAGCACCTGCGTGACTTACTAGGGCAGGCAGAGCAAATTAGAGATCAGCAAAACTGCAAACGGAATCTTGAGCCGAGAAAATTTGTTCATGCGCAAAGCGGCCCACCAAACAATGTGGCGCTAGAAAAGGCGTCTTCTTTTGGCTATATTGTGAGCTGCATTGCAGGTGGCAGTTAGGTAGCGATCAGGACGAACCATCCTGATGCCGGTCTGAGGGAATAGGGACTAAGAATGAGTACCATAAGGCCCGGTTTAACTTTCTACTTGCCTGTTTGGAGTGGGCAGCGTTCTGGGAGCCCTGAGCGGTCGAAGTTATGGTATCTCCCGGCCGGTTCGAGGGGCTCACCCTGCTCACGAGGACTATGATATGAGCAACAAAGCTAGGACAGCTCTGCGTTACAGCAACGGAACACCGTCCGGTATTCGGGGTCTGATGTAGCGATAAGCCCAGTCCTTCAGGTATGAAGAGCCATGGCACGTGCCGAGGAAGCCCTAACAGCGGGTCCGATCCGTTTCCACCCGGGAGACCCCCTCTGCGGCTCCACCAAAAAAAGTCTTCTCTTAGACGAAAGAGCAAAGTAAAAAAGAATGACCGACGCAGGGCTCGAACCTGCAATCTCCTGATTCGTAGTCAGACGCCTTGCCAATTGGGCCAGCCGGCCAGTTGATATAAGAGGTTTCTGTATAATGTTATATGGAGCAGCAAGCTTAAACGTGAAGTAATATAAGCAATTGTACTGAGAATAAAGCACTCACTCCATTGCATATTATCCTTGCCACAAGACGCTAATTGAACCGGAGAACAAACGTCATTTTACAACTCCTAATGGCGGATTCAAAACAGAGAAATATGGGATAAATTCAAACTGGACGAAGGGCTCGTTTCGCCCTTAGATCCAAGCCCAACTTTTAGTCACCTACTAGCGAACTATCCAGCCAGCCCTAACTCGTTCTATAGTACAAAGAGAAATATCATACATCATAACCCATAATATACAGCCTTGCTGCGCCTCAATCCTCAGCTAAGCCCTACATCATCATCCCCTGTCCCATCCCAATCCCATTAACCTGCCCCATCATCCCTCCTGCTTGTCGCTGCGCCTGCGCCTGCACCTGCTCCGCAACAGCCGCCTTCTCCTGCGCACTCACATAAAGACTCAACGTATACTCCCTCCCCTCAATAAGATCCGACTCGGCCTGCCCATCCGGACCGGGGGCAAGAACCAAGCGGCCCAGCCCACAAAACCTCGTCCCATACCACATCCCCCTCCCAAACCGATCGCAGCCCTCCCACCGATCTGCAAGGCAACTCATGCTACTCCCCACCAGCAGCGGGTTAAATCCATTACACAGGGCCTCGGGGATATGCAGGACGTTCTCGAGGACGATAGTATGCGTGCTCGGGTCATTGACCCCCCGAGGCACGGTCAGGTGTACGGTTCCGATGCCCGCTACGACCATTTCATCGAGCGGGTTGAAGATGTTGGATTTTATGGGCGTGTGGACGGGCGTATACGTGGATGGGACGAAGGACGCCTGGTCGCGTGCGTAGTGCACGTTTCCCGAGACGATCATCCAGTCGCGGCAGGTCTGGGAGGCTGGGTGGATTGTGCGGGTTTTTTTGCGGCGGTCTTCATCTGGTGAGCGGTCGGGGGCGTGGTGGAGGGGGGAGGACGTCGCGTCGGCGTCGCGCATGAAGTCGTCGTGGGTGCGCATTGCGCTTGGTTCTCGCGGCGGTTCCGGGTTTCTGGCGTCTCGTGAGGGATTAGGGAGCGATTAGGGGCGGACGACGGTCAATTGGCGTTTGTGTTGTCTGTGTGGTATTTGCGATTGCTTTCAGGGTGGAATGAGCATGAAAGGGACGCAGCTGAAAGGCAATTGAGGTGAGTTTGCTGTGTCTCATCCAAGGTTGAGGCTGGTTCGGGGATGCGCCGACGCGGCAGAATACGGTAGGGCGGTAGCGAACAAACATCTTCACCGCCTCCGCTCTCGGCACGCGTCCGCCCGAAGGTCCCGTGACCAGCAGCCAGCACGCCAACAAGGCATCAAGGCAACAGGGCACAAAGGCACCAAGGCCATGAGCCAAGCTACAACAACAACGAAGCAGCGCTGAATGCTTATTCGGATTATTGCAGGCCGTTCCAAGTCTCAGTAAGATAGCAAAAGACATCTTGCCCCTTTGGGGATTTGTCCCTTGCTTAGCCGTTGGACATCAAACACAACCTTTCACTATTGTAGGTCAATATATATTTCTGGACCAAGCGCCTGAAGGAACTAGCGGGGCATTTTGAATTTTGAACACTGCCATTAGACATGGTTTACTTTAGTAGAAACAAACAATCATGAGTTCATAACCGACTGTATAACCCCTCCATCTCCCTCAATATCTGCTCACAATTCATCCAGATCCGGCGCCGATTGCGCAGCTCCTTAAACGCAAGATCCTGATGATCAGGTTCCGCACCAGGACAGGCATAAAATTCCTTCAGAAAGCGCAAAAGCCGGTCGAACTGGACTCTAGGTACGCCTGCTTCCTTGCCGCGACTTATCTGCGACAGAATGATATCCGCACACCACGGGACGTCGAAGAAGAGACGGGACTTCCAGAAGCTGGGCGGGAGATGCTCCGCGCAGCGCCTAAAGTCGGGACTCGCGAGGAAGAGGTTTAGCACAGATGGGGTGGGGAGGAGTTCCAGGATGGCTAGTTGCAGTTCGCGTGGGAGAAGGGAGAGGACGGTAGATGTTGTATGCGTGTGTCCCGATGGGCTTGTCTGTGCAGGCTCTGGCTTAACGTTGAAAACAAAGGAATACCCCGACTGCGTGCCGGCGGATGCTCGGTCGATCAGAGGCCGGCAATTGAATGGGCCTTCGGGGTCCATTACCGTCCACTAAGATGTAATTGTTAGATATTTGTCTGTGACACTGCCAAGTAGTCCTGGAGGGCGAAACCCACCATTGATCCTTTTAACGGTATCCATTCTTGATAACCATCATAAAATCTTTGACCTGGATAATAACCCCCATTGAATGTGTCTCTGAACCCCCAATCAACCAGGTTATTGTTGCGATCCTCCAGACCATCCTGCAGCTAAGTCCAGAGCTGTCGGAGGTCAAGCGTTTGCGTTGAAGATTATCTCTCCTGGTGAACACGCTCTAGCATCTTGAAACACTTATCGTGCACCAGGAACTGCTCGCCTTAGCTACAGAGGACTTCGGGTCCATGGAGGTCCATCTGGTTATCTGGGATATCTCGTCGGGATGCATTAGACGACGATTCAAACTCAAAAAACCTGATCTCGACAAGTCATTCACCTTTTCACCTAACAGTCGCCAGCTGATTATCGCAAGCGGAAAAGAGCTTTTGATTTGGGACATGGTTAATGATTGGGGGTTAAGGAGACTTGCAAGTCATGACGTCAAGTTCAGGCATGTCATATTCACCCATAACGGCAGGTTCATATCTGTAGGTATCCTCTAACGGCGCAATTCAATTATGGGAAGTGGAAAAGTGTAGGCTCAAGGAACAACACCCTCGTGCCAGTATTCCAAGTTCTCCATGCACTAAGCGCAGCCACGGCCTGATTTGCTGGCCGTTTGGAATACCATTCCATTAGGATGTCTGGTACGGCTCGACCGTTATCTTCAAGGCATGTGCCCACCACAGTCCACCAGAAACGCAAGTCCCCATTGGCAACCCCAAGTGGTGGGTGCGCGTGTCCAAAAACGTCCTCGAAATTTTTGATAGCGACCCAACAAAACCAAGCTCAAAGCCTTTACTTTTACTACATCTCACAAAGTCGTACACGGCGTTGATAGTCTTTACACTCGACGGAAGAAAGCTCATTAAGTTCGACGATGACGACTATCTGGTTTGGAATCTGCAATCTGGCGAGGTGGAGCCAGTGAGACAGAGCCTCCAGGACTTCCCAAAGGACGTTGCATTTCTTCACGACGGTACTATGCTTGCTGCTGGGAGGGGTTTGAATCACTGGGAGGTGGATGTCCTCGGGACCGGTGAGGTAAATGAGGCCCAAGCGGCCGGCCCAGATGTGCCCAGGGTCCAGAAGGTTGTCTTGACGCCTGGCAGTCGACATGCGGCCGTTCTGTGGCACCATCCGGCCGTCGAAATATTTGATTTCGCTACTTTAAAACGTATTTCAACTGTGAAAGTTGAAGCAAAGGTTATACTTGACATGACACCCGCTCAGAACAGTGGTAACCTGGTGTTATTCGCGGAGCACCGTATACTCATTTACAATATTGCTAAGAAAAGACTGGAACAAGAGATTAACTCGACGTACACAGTACGAACCTCGGACGGGGAGTGTCACCTTGACAGCCCTCCAATATCGAGGTTGTCAGATGACGGGACCAAGGTCGCCTGGGTGGCTAATTGGGACAGCGAAAAAAATACTAGCAGTCGCGTTGTACATGTTGGTAGTGTAAAAACCGGGGAGGTTCTCCATACAAGCACGCCGATGGATATCACGGTGCACGACCTAGCATTTTCTGCCAGGGGTGACTGCCTGACTATACGGTTTCGCGACGGACGGATGAAGCGTTGGCACCTGAGCGGCGAGCACAACGAACAACCACTTCACCGTGACCCAGATTATGTCAAGGACATCCTTGATAATAACCCCCCTGGAACTTCTCTGGATTCAGAGGGATGGATATTTCGCCATGGCTTGCGTACGTTGTATCTACGACAGGATTTTCGGGAGCATGCGGTGTCCCGTGATGGTAACTGCGTGGCCATTGCCAGATCTGTACAACTCATGTCCTTGTCATTCCTTGATTCCAGTGTCGAGGATCAGGTAGAATAACCTTATTTGAATCCACACGATTTCTATAGACTCAGTATCCCTCCTTCGGACCAGGCTGTGTACCATTAAAGAAATATTTCCCTTGAATAGCTTGGTCAAGTGGCTTTTGTCTACATTACGCATAGTAGGTGTCTTATGGAAATGTGGGCTAAGTGGCAGGCTATATGGCTAATGATGCTTCACGGCACTGAGCAAGCGCTCACCCAGCTCGCACATTCCTCCACATGGTGCCCCAAGAAACAAGCAATGAGAAGGCCCTTTTCGATCACCTGGGCACAAAGTTGGTAACAGATTGGGAGCCACGCATACATCCATCATTAAGTTGTCAGCCAAACTCTTCGTGTATTATTTCTCGCAATTTCAGGGCGGAAAAGAGAGTTGTAGAAGACGGTAGATGAAGCCGCACCGTCGTGCAATGCAGTCTAAGCCTTGAGAACATCCCAAACCCCCTCCGCCCAGTTCGACTGAAGCACAAAACTCTGAATCCTCCAGAACTCCCCCTCCCCCTCATCCTCATCCTTCACAAACTCAACCCCAATCAGGTTCCCAAGCAGCATCGACTCCTTCCCGGGCCCCGCCATCCCCTCGCCAGACCGATAATGCTGGCTCAGCAGGGTCCCCACCGCCTGTGCGGTCTTGCCATCTTCGCTGATGTTGATGCGCAGGTTCGTGGCGTGGTGCGTCGTGTCGAGGCCGCCGATGAGCGAGAAGCGGAGTTTGAGGATGTCCCCGAGGCCGGAGGTGGTGTCGCCGTTGATGGTTAGGGATGCGGTCTCGGCGATGGAGGAAGTGAAGAGGGCTTCGTCCGCTGTATCCAGGGATATGAGGAAGCGGGAGAGCGCGTCAATTATGGCGTCGCGACCGGTGAGAGCGGGGTTGAGGCGGGCGGGGAGAGTTGGGATAGACATGTTGATAGTTGTTCTCCCTCTTGCTGGCAATGGGGTAGCAGTACTCGTGGTGATGATGGTGGCGGAATAGCGTCGAGCGACAGAATTGTCTTGAGGATGTTGTGTTTGAGGTTGAAAATAGTGCTGGAGGGACCCGGACTAGATAGCCGTTTTATACTCTTTTCCAGCGTACTGTGGATGTGTACAGCCGCCGATTTGCGAGATTTCTAAGCTTTCTCAGCTTTGTAAGAGAAAACAATCAGGAGTTGGATAACGAAAGCCAGGGACGCGCGGACTTAGGGGGGCTATCTCCAGACTTAGAGGGCTATCTCCGGCCTTAGGCCTCAGTAGGATGAGTGTTTGCCCAATTCGTTAAACATGTCCCTCTAGTTGAAGATAATGCAATTCCTCTCGCGATAGACCAACTGCACAACAACATTCATCCACCACCACAATCTGCACTAGGACAGCAAGTGATACTACTATCGCCTTGAACATAGCTTATTTTCACTAATTTCTAAACTAAAGTACCCAAGTAAAATGATCACAGAATCCCTATGCTTGTTTCTCCTGAACAATTATTAAGCGCCCCGTCTGTGGCTCCACACCCTGGTGCTTAGAAATACGTGTTTCTCCAACTATCGTCCACCTTCGTTTCACCAGCTGGTATGGCGTCCGATTGTGAGGATGGGGTCTGATCCCGTCTTGAGGCTGGGATTTTGTTTTTTGTTGTTAGCCTGTCGGCATCCGGTGACATTGAGGGATTACAATACCCAGAGAACAAGGTGTATATTTCCGCGCAACCTCACAGAACAACAATCAGGCAGCCCTCCGGACCATTAGAATGGAAACACAGCCCCCTCAACTATGACTGGTTGATAAATGATATGTGTCTCTCCGTGAGATTCAGACACACGCAGCATTTGAAGAGACTACGTAAACTATGTATGAGGGTAAAGTCACATATACTGCTCCAAAACCAGATCCGCCGCCCGCTCCGCAATAGCATACACCGTGCAAACTGTATTACCTCTCAGGTAATCGGAATAACACTTGCATCGACAACCCGCGGCCACTTGACGGCGAAGCAGTTGAGTAACTGAGCCGTAGAGGAGGCGGATCAAGAGGGGTTGCGTTAGGGTTTTCCTGGTTGGCTGCGACGGGTCAGATTGGTTCGTTATCTGATGGTCAGAGGCACCTTATACGACACCGATCGTTCTACATTCTTGCGGTGGAGCGTGGGCTGGTGCGGAAGGGGTTTGTGAACAGTCAACGCAGGTTGGTGCTGCACGGCAGAGGATTAACTCTGAGTCTCACGTTAGGATACGACATGAAGTCTTCATCTGTGGTTCAATGTCAGAGCTCTTCGAAAAGCCTACCTATATTGGAGAACAGGAACTCAAGCCAAAGGTGCAGTCACTAAGTACCCATCAATGGACAACACGCTACCCGACCGCTGTATAACGAGCGCGGGATGATGAGGGGGGGTGCAGGGTCAAATGTATTATTCACCAGGCGTTATGATATCTCAGAATCTCATATACCACCAATATCAACTGTCAGATTCGCTTCTTGGTCATCAAAGGCTTAGCTTCTCATATAGGCAAAATACGATACCCTCCTGATCACCAATCCGTTTATGGACGTCCTCGAGCATGGCCATTGCTGGGGCCAATTCATTGGTAAGGCGCATATCCAGGCTACGGCATGGTCTGCGTGCGTCAGCTGTATCCTTGCTGCCTTTTTTCTTTGTGGTGAATGGCGGATCCTCGGTCCATGACGGCTGACTGGAGCGTCCGATTCCATTAGCGGTGGCTGTCTTCGTACTATCTTGCGATAGGTCTCTTGCTCAGTCCAGCACTATTAGCTTGCGCGCTTACGGTTTATAACAAAAGTTTAGTATAGTGGGCGCTTATACCCAAGAGCGGGGAGCTTTGTGTGACCTATGTGTTAGGTAGCTGAGCCCGGGCTTGCTTATTCTACCACAGCCACCCATATGACAGCCTTGCACGAGGCTCACTTTGAACTTTGCCTCAACGGGCTGACCAGGTCTTAGTAATGGAGCTGACTTCTGGGTAGCTGAAAGCAGTAGTACCGCTTCTAAGTGGGAAATGGCATTGAGTGCACTAAGTTGCCTCGTAACACCTATGAGAAAGAGATTTAATAAAGAGAATATCAAAGTGCAGTCTTATCCTACATCTTAGCCCCTAACTACATACTCTAACACAGGCTTGGACCAAAATGGGGAGCAACTCATAGGATATGTTTGGCTGCGAACCCTCAGGCATATCTAAATACCAAACACCAGAGAAAGAACACGTCGAACATGCTTATTCTTGTTCATGGGTTGAAACCTCATAATCTGTAGCCCAATAGCAGTATCCCTCAAGAAGTAAATACCCAAAGACCATAAGATGGGCTTCTGTCTATCAGATGATCACGTTGGCTAAGTGAACTACAGGAATGTTCCGCGTGCGGCTGATTACGCACAAATCACCAAAGGATGCTCTTATGCGGATTGGTACGGCTACCCCGGTGTCTGGCTCTTCGGACCACCACCTTGTACTAATGTTCCGCTTGCAGTGGCGATGAATGCCCGTCTGGCTCGACGTCCGTGTTCAAGAAATACGACAAGTGCTGGTCACAGGGCCAGAACTACGACTATCCCGATCCTGTCTCACTGACAGACTGTCACTGGGAAGCCGGCAGCGGGGGTTCAGATTGTGCAAATGCCAACTGCGGTGAGACGGAAGTCGAGGTCGATCGAGCCCAGTATGGAGACAAGTCAAAAGCGTGCGACTGTAGGTCTATTCCTCCACTTGCCTACATCCGTACGCCGGATGGAAGATATAGATGCTGACTGACAGCCCATGGGTGCAGGGGGTCGACAGAAGGCCATGTGCTGTACGGTTAAAGTGGCTCCGATCAAAGCAGCCACCTGCAGCGTCGACATGTGCACTGTAGAACGAGGCTACTGCCCAGCCACCGATAACGACATCGGCTCAAGTGGTGAGAGCAAGCGAGATCTGGCCCTCCTGCCTACCTCTGAAGTCGCCGAGGCAGAGGCAGCACACGCACACGCACACGCGCTGCAGCCCCGTGGCCCCGACAAACAATACCTGTCTTACGAGATCGGGATGACCCTCATCGGGATAGGCTATCCATCTCTTCGTGAAATGCTGGCGTACCCGCCCATCCTACAAGCAGGTCCGCCGGCAGGCTGGGTACGTTGAGGACGGGGAAGACGTCGCCGAGCTTCCTGATATGGCGGCACGATGGGTGGAGTACTTCAACGACTTTGTGCAGACACGGCAGCAAGAGGCGCAGGACTGGCTAAGGGAAGCTGTCCAAGAACCTTAAGCGCTTGAGCCGTGGCTACAAGCGTACGACAACAACGAGGTCGATTTATTTCGGTATGGGATGGTTCGTTACGACGCTGGACGGGTTCTTGGATTTGATTGACACCATGGTCTTTCCGGCTGATACGCAGCCTTCGATGCCGAACCCGGACCCGAATGATGGGTTTTAGAGAACTCGGTTGACGGGGATGGGGTCTAACATGCCGAGTAGGTAGCATGGGCATTGAGTTAGCTATATTGAAAATCGATGTTCTCTGTTTGTGGCAGGCCTCTTATAGCATGACGATGTTCGATCATTATCTATATACCTAGATTTCCTCTCTACACTGTGAAGAGCCCGCGATGTGGACTATACGACTGGTCCAGGCACTGTCCTTATTGTATTCGCATTCAGATGCGTAGAGGCTTGATCGCCAGAAGTAGGCTAGCCTGCTTTCTCGCGCATTGGGAAAGAGTCTGCTTGCGATAGAGGATTTTAAGTAGTCAGACTACGATGCGTTTATGTCACTGGTATCATAAGGCATCTTACAATCTCGTGGCGTTCGATCAGGGAATGAGCCAGGTAGGTAAGGCTGCCCGAACTATCTATCATTTTGCGGTTCAGGACCACGGACGATACAGAAGGAGATACAAGCAAGGAGAAGAGGGAGAATAGGAAGTACATAAGGTGATAAAAGGTAAACTACTAAATGGAAGCCTTCACAAACAATCCATTAAATGGAAATCGGCGTCGATGATGGCTAAGAAGAAGATTGCAGACATCCATGGATAATGAACCAAAGTTCCTGCAGGTTTAGACAGCCGGACATCTATCATCCCCAGCCGGAGCCGGCACGCCAATAGTGGTCGTAACGGTGACAACATGGACTGGCTTTGTGCTGCTCTCTCCAACTTCTTCAGGCGCCGCAGTCGGAACAGGGGGGTGGTCCAAGGTGACGGGATGATCATAGTCCGACTGCCAGCCAATAGTTTTCGGCACAAGTCCAGGCTTCGTGTACTTGGTTGAAGAAGGCACAGCAGTGGGGGTTGACAGGCTAGGAGAGACAGAGGCGTGGTGGCCATGGTGGTGGCTGGACGCGGTGGGAGTCACCGTGACATAGACGGTCGTCGCGTCGCAGGTAGAGGGCGAAGGCGTAGCGGAGCTAGAGGGGACGGTGTCGACACAGCTCTCGCCATCAGCCGGAGAGTCAATAGTAAAGCGCTCGCCCTGGGCGTAGATGATGTAGACGTTTGTGCCGTTGATCGCGCTGAGCTGGTACCCCCACTCCGGGTTGGTGTCGCAGGGGATTTGCACGGTGTGGGATTCGTCGGCCGTGGGGATGTCGGTGGCCAGGGCGACGTAGGACGGGGGCCACGAGACGAAGTTCCAGAGATACAGGCTGAAGGACGAGGGGTCTGTATCGACGGTCGTCCAGTTGACGGTGATGGCTGAGCCGGCGGCGAAGGTTGAGTTCGCGGTTGGCTCGGTGATGCTGATGGCGGCTGCCAACGAGTCGAGGAGGAGCGCAGGAAGTGCGAAATGAAGTAAGGAGCGCATCTTGAAGAGATAAAGAGTGACTAAGTGAGTATGCTAATAACGAACGACTGGGGTAAGTAGAGATGATCAGATCGGCGGAAGGAGAGGCGCACGCGGTGGTTTTAAGGAAATTCAGGGGTCAATTATATCCAATTTAATGTTCTTTCCCCGGAAATTATTCCTCCGCAAGTCCCTCGCTGATTGGCTGCGTCTAAGACATTGCCTGGCTAGTGCTTTGGCCCCCACACCCGCCAGCCAACCGGACGAGGCCTTTCCAATGAGAATGTAGGGCTGAGCGTAATGCCCGGATAAGAATAGACACTATACACTGCAATCGCTGTAGACCACTAACAGAGGCAACCAATATTCCATCCTGAATCTCACCCTGATGTGCTCTTCAACCGCTCGCTCCGCCTGCGTTTCCCAAGTACCTGATCCTCTTGAGCAACACCGTCCTCCAAACGCAGCAGTTCGACCTTCTTCTTCCCGCCCTCCCCGTACCTCAGATAGTCAACAGCGTCACCTTCGATATATGGCGACAGTCCGTGTAGCGGCGCGCGGATTCCCCGTCCTCTCAGCCCCAGGTCCACAAGTTTCGACCCCTGCGACAGTCAATACCAAAAGTCGCAAATAGCGCAGGGCCAGTCAAGCACACGCAAGAAAAGATGTGTACCATACCTCGAAGGTCCCAACAACACAACCCACCTTCTCCAGCGCCATATCAAAGACCCGGGCCTCAGCATGCCCATACCCAAACACCACGCCGCGGTCCATGGCTCTTGTGGCATGATCCTTCTTGCTATCGCGATTGATCAAGCCAATTGCATAGATACCTGACTCGTCATACCGGATCGTGAAGCCACGGAATGATACAGCCCGTGCGTCGCAGAGCACATGCACGCCCGCTTCATCAAACGGACAGCGCGTCTTCCGCACCTTCACATTCTGGAAATTCTTGTACCGTCTGTACCGGTGGTACTGCGTGATGCGGGTTGTTAATTCATCTGCCGTGAGTGTTTTCGCGCGTGCGGGGATAGAGCCCAGCAGCGTGCGCGTGCCATTGCGGTAAATGAACTCGAGGGCTGTGATGGTTGTGCTGGATTCGGGGCTTTTCCAGACTCCACATGAGTGTTGTTGGGTGTATACGGGTGCGTCTGGGAGTGAGACGATTGAGATGCCGATTGTTTTGAGACCGTAGGATATGGGCGCCTTCTCGACGCGCTGCCCCTTAGCGTGAGTAATAGGTGTGCTGCAGGGGTGGTCCTGGAGCGCGGCACCGTAGAAGTCCAGTGGTGGTGGAGCTAGGGTGTCCTCTGCGACTAGGACATCCTTTATCCAGCGGAGCACCGTCCAGGCCCTGATCGTGGTGTCTAGCCTTTTCCCCAGAGCCGAGGCGTGGTAGAGCTGTCTCCAGTCAACCTTGTTTCCATGTCCGGATTTACCTCCTCCAGCTCCATTGCTGCAGAGAAGGAACCCCAAGAACTCTCTATCCCCGCCGTCAAAGAACCGGGTCTTCCAGAAATGGTTGTCGGAGAATACCACCCCCATGGCCCGCGAGGCAGAGCGTAGGCTCAGGTAGTCCTGCGTGGTTAGGGCACAGGCAATCTGCTCTCTCAGCTCAAGGGGCAGGCGGCTGAAAGGGTCTGTCGGGTTGTTCAAGCCTGCCATTCCCATACATGGCTCTGCTCTGGATCCCGGTGGACTCCGCGTTGATGAGATAGACACAGACACGGACACAGGACCAGGGGCAGGGACCGGGGCCGGGGAAGCGCCTTCCCCTTGCAAAAGCTCCTCAATAGACGGAGAAATGCATGGATAATAATCATTTGGGCTCGCGAAGACGGGCTCTGTGTTGTACATGCATTGGATTAGCTCAACCTCCATCAACAACTCAAGTAAAGTGACCATCAGCAAGCAAGCAATAGATACATACCCTCCGGCGGCGGCAGCATCCTAAGCACATCGAAAAGTCTCTCCAGCGACGCCCTCTTGCCCCTGCCGCTGCCCCCACCCATCCCCAAAGCCCTCTGCGCAAATCGCCAGCAGCACTCATGGAAAACAAACCTCGAGCCGCCGGGATATTGATAATTCCTCCGATCGCACCGCGTGTGCGCCCAGTCACACCAAACGTCGACAGCTGGATATTTGCATGGTCTTGTTTCCAGGCCGTCGCGGTTCCACTTGGAGCATAGGCCGGAGAGCTTGACTGTGCCGGAGGTCGCGTACACTGTATACGAACCTTAGTCTCTATATAGACGATTGTTTATTGCTATTGGGACTACTACTAAGTTGGGCGGGGTATGTATGACTTACAGAACCGCACCACGTCTAGCCAGACGGGAGATGGGGTCACCGTCGGACACCCGCATAGGATGCAGCGCGTGAAGTCGCCATCCCAGTATGGGTCGTAATCGTGCAGGAGGGAGGACGGAATTGGCATATTGGAGGGATGGCTGATGTTGCTGAAAGTGAAGGAGGGATGGGAATTCAAGGAGCTGGGCTTTGTGGGTGACGTACCCCCTCTACCTCCGGGGTGGGATCCGGCCGGGCCCGGTACGTGCGCCTGTTTTTGGGTTCGGTGGCTCGCGTTATCTGTCAGACGGACCCAGCCTCCGGCTGTAGCAGAGAATGCTCATTAGATAAAGGATAGATTTAGCTTCAGGCCTACCATGTTTTTCACTCTACGACTGCTCAAATCAGTAGTCTTGGAGCAACCGATCTTGACTTGTCCGCCGATTCGCTGTGACAATCGTAGCCAGCTATTCCATGAATACCACTTGACCAAAAGGCACTATACACGGTCCGACCTTGCTGACTGGAGCTATGAGCTAGCCCTGGCTAGGGACATTACACTTTTTCAGCGGGAAGAGCTATTGTTACTGTAGGTAGGCAGCACTGCTGAATCTGTGCTTAAAGAGCCTTTTGTGTTTTCCTTGATTGCATCCACACACAGTACTAGCATCGAGCAAGATCAGAATCATGTTGTCAGACAGAACAAGATTCGTACCTGGTACATGATGGCATTTGTTAAGCAAGGTGTGCGTTAGTGGCTCTTGGAGATAAAAGCTTAAAGATTAGATTTAGCTAGGCCATGATAGTAAAGCTATACTTAGTGTGGTTAACTAAGGTAATAAGCAAGGGCTATAATAAGGTAAGTAATATATTATAGTTTAATACCTTTTTTATTAAAAGCCTTACTAAAAAAATAAAGCTAAATATATTTTTTAAATAAAAAGTAAATGTAAGACTAACAAGTCTTAAAAATCTTTATTAATAATAAAGATATTAATAAAAGAATTTAACTAATAAAAATAAAGTATTTGAAACCCTGTTAAATAATATTAAAAAAGTTACTTAAAAATTTAAAAAAAGGCTAGCCTTAAGGCTACCTTTATAAATTTTTAAGCTATACTTAAGCTATTTTTAATTAAAAAATAAATATAGGTTTAAAATACTTTATACATGGGTTTTTACTTAAGCTTATATTTAAGGCCTATTTTAGCCTTGCTTAATTAATAATTAAAACCTTAAATAATAATAACTTAATTAAATTATATAATTTAATATAATAATAAAATATACCAAGCCCTGGTGGCCTAAGGCTAAAGCTTAGGTTATTTAAGGCGCTAACTTTAAACTAACAGTGGATTAGCTCTAGTAACATTAAACAGAAAAACGTTGGCCCTGACAGTAAATAATAAAATACAAAATAATAAAAAATAAGTAAGGTATTATAATAGGCTACTTTTGTATATAAATAAAATAAAAATTAAAATAAAAAATTATAAAATTATTTAAAAAATATTTTTTTTATTAAAATATTTTATACGAAGCTACTTAATAAAATAAAAATATTAAATTTATTTAAAAAACTTAGTAAGGCTATTAATAACTTATTTTTTTAATATTAATATAGGTAAATTTAATATTACTAGTAACTATTTTTTATATATATAATAATATTTAATTATTACATGTTTTATATAAATATAAAATTTTAAATTTTTTAATAAGGTAATCACGCCTTAATTATTAATATAAATAAATATTTATTTAATAAAAAGTATTTATATTAAAGCAAGGTATGAAATATTAAGTTTAATAAAAAGTAATTATAGCTATAAAAATTTTTAAGTTATAATTATTTAAAAAATATATTTTAACTTTATTAATAAAAGGGTTATAATAAATTATTTTTTAAAAAATTAATTAATTAGTTTATTAACCACCTTAAAGATATATTTAAAAATAAATATATAATTATTAGTATAAGCACTAGCTTAATTAATATTATAATATTTAATAAGGCCTTTACCTTTATATTAATAAAAATTATAAGATTTTTTAATACTTTAAAATAATAAAAAATATATATTAAGGCTATAATATAATTTTTTAAAAAATTTATTATATAGTAAGATAAAAGTATAATAATAAATAAAATATTTAGGCATGTATTAGTAAGAATTTAAATAAAAGTATTAATTTATTTTTAATAAAAAAATCTTTTTCATTAAGGCCTTGCTATTAAACTTTTATAATATAATTTTAAAATTATATAAAGTTATAAAGTTCTTATAGTTTTTAAAGCTAAATTACTTGAAAATATTTTAATATAATATTTTTTAAAAAAAAATAAATACTATTATCTACGTGGTAAATAATAATATTAACAAAGTAAGTAAGCACTTTATTATTATTAACCTTAAAAATACCTTTAAGTATTTTAATAACCTTTATAATATTATTTATAAATAAAAAAAATATAATATTATTTATAAATAAAAAAATATAATATTATTTATAAATAAAAAAATATAATATTATTTATAAATAAAAAAAATATAATATTATTTATATAAAAAAAATACTTAGCTATAAATAAAAACTAAATAATTTACATGTATTTTAATAAATTTAAGTAAAATAAAAAGGCTAATAAGTATTTTATATTACTTTTTTAGTAATTATTTTAAGTTATATAAGGTTTTTAAAAGCAAGCTATATTTATTAGTAATTTTACTACCTTTAAGTAGTTTAATAAAAGAATTTTTAACAAAATTTATATATAAAAAAATAGTAATAATATTAAAAAAATAGAGTACCTAGTTATAGTAAGTAGCTAGTATAATAAAATGTTTAAAAAATATTAATTTAATAATAATAATAATATATATCTTATAAATCTTATAATTATAGCTAGTAATTTAGTAAAAGCCTTTAATAACTAGGTAAGCTTTATAGGTATTATTATATTTAATTTTAAATACTTATTTAAAATTAAAAAGTTATATTTTTTTTAATAATTAATAACACGCCATGTGCTATTAAAAAAACAATTATTAAGTTTTTTATAAATAATAATATATTATTTATTTCCTTTTAAATAAAAAGCTATATTTATATATATTTTTAGCTTATAGCTAGTATTATTTAAGGTTTTAAAAGTAAAATTTTATTTATTTAGTTTATTAAAGTTTATTATAAAAATAATATTATTAATAAAATTATTAAAGGCAAGCTTATAATCCGCGAGAAACCATGCAAGATAGTTTAAAAAAAATTAAAATTGTATATAAAAAAAGTTTATTTATATTTATTAATTTAAGGTGCTTTTTTATAATTTAACTTAATTTTTTTAAATAATTTAAGTAGTGTATTTTACTTTTTAAAAATAAAAAATAATAAGTATTAGTTCTTCAGGCGCGGGTGSGTTTTACTAGGCTATTATAATTTTTATTAATTTTTTTTTAATTTTTTTTTAAAAAGGGGGGGGGTCTGGAATAGGATAATATTAAATTTTTAAATTATTAATTAGTTAGTTAATATTATATAACTTTTAAACTAAAAAGTTTGGTATAAGTATTAAAAAATATTAATTAATTAATATTTTTATAACAACTTTAGGTTATAAGTAATACTATTAAAAAGGTTTTTTTTAAAATAGCTTTTCCTATTTTAAATTTATTTTAAAAGGTTAAGAAATAGGGTTATAAAAAATAAAAATATTTTTTTGAAAATTTAATAAAGTTTTAAAGTTAAAAGGCGTATATTTTTATTTTTAAAAATATAATTTTATAAAAACTTGGGAAATTAGTTTTTTATTATAATAAATATAACTAGCTTAATAATATAATAATTTTTTATTTTAGTAATTAGGTTTAGTACTAGGTAATACCTTAATATTAAATTAAAAATATTATTATAGTTTTTATAGTATAACTTAAGTAGTTAGTATTTTAAAGTATTATTATAGTAAATATATTTTATTTTTAACTTTAGTTATATTTATAGCTAGTTATAAAGTTAAAAAAAATTTAATATAAGACCAACAAGTCTCAAAGATCTCTACTAATAATAAAGATATTAACAAAGGAATCTAATTAATAAGAATAGAGTATTTTAAACCCTATTAAATAATACTAAAAAAGTTACTTAAAGATTTAGAAAAAAGGCTGGCCTTAAAACTACTTTTATAAACCTTTAAGCTATGCTTAAGCTATTTTTAACTAAAAAATAAATATAAGTTTAAATACTTTACACATAGGTTTTTACTTTAGCCTATACTTAGGGCCTACCCTAGCCTTACTTAACTAATAATTAAAACCCTAAATATTAATAACCTAGTTAAGTTATATAACCTAATATAATAATAAAATATACCAAGCCTTGGTAGCTTAAGGCTAAAGCTTAAATTACCTAAAATATTAATTTTAAATTAATAATAGGTTAGCTTTAGTAATATTAAATAAAAAAATATTAGCCTTAATAATTTTTTTTTTTTTAATTAAAGGGTTGTCCGCGACCCGCCACTAAATAAAAAAAAAATAATAATAAAATATTATTATTATTATTAATATTAATACTAAACATAGCTTTATTATTGCTATTTTAAACTTTATTAAAGTATTATTTAATATATTAAATTTAGTATCTTATTTTTATTATTTATAGTGCTTTAAATAAAATATAATATTTATTTATAATTAAAAAAAAAAGGTAGTGCTTTAATAATACCTAGTATAAAAGTATAAATTATAATATAGTTTATAATTTTATAAACTTTTAAACTTATTAAGCTTTTTACTAAATAAAAAGTTACCTTTTTTTTATTATAACTAAAAAAAAGCCCTTTTAGGCGCTGCCCTAGCTTTTTAATAAGTAAAAAAAAGCGCCTTGCTATAATTATAATAATTTAAAATACTTTTTTTTTATTTTTTATACTTTTACTATAGTATAGTTATAAAACCCTTTTAATATAATATATTTACTAATTTTAAAAGCCCTTGGTATTCTTAATTTTTTTTTTATATTTATCCCCCTTTAAGTTTAAAAACTTTAATTTTAATTAATTCTTGGGCGGTAATAATAATAATAATAATTAATATAACTTATATTTAATAAACACCTTTAAAATATACAGCAAGGTTATAAGTAATA